TTTTTGGTACTAGGAAAAACTACGTCAACACACGACGTGGGTGTGCCACCCCTACCCTATCATGATTCAGCCAGTGCCCAAGGTCCGGCGGCGGAGCAAGAAGACGATGATACCCAACCGAAACACCAGCAGCCAGCGACGCTAGCTTATCAGCCGAGAAATTCCCTTCCCTATAAATATGGGACACGTGAGCATTTTACTTTCTATCGCTTATATTAGTATGAATATGGATTTTCCATAATTAGTAATGTGTAAGAAAATTATAATGAAGAATGTGAAGGAGAGATGAGTTTTAGTCCATATTATATGTTAACGCAAAATCCATATGTCGGTAGCTAGGATAGAGCTGTTAAACTAAACTAGTTGCTCGTGAGCTCAACTGCGCACAAACAAGCCAAACTCGAGTTCTTTTAAAGTTGGTTTAGGCTCATCTTGTTAAGGCTCGGGCTTAATTCGTTATAATTGATAAACAAGTTGTGCTCGAGCTTGTTTAGCTCGACTCTTTTACACACCTACAACAAGTATCAATTCAGACAAACCGAAAAACCAAACATAAAACCTATGTATTAGACAATTGAACAACTGAACAGACAAATAATAAACAATAAATTATAAATGAAACAAAAATAAATAACGATAAATTAATTGGGTAACGATAAAATTAGGGTAAGTTCGACAAGGTTTATACAGCAATTCTCTTAAAACTGCGAGCTCACAGAGCATACTTTCGCAGATGGCTTACAAATCAGCGTTCGATGCTTCCGCCATTAAAGCCGACCTCGAGGCCGCCGGAGTTAACCCTAATTTCGCCCCACTCATCTGGAAACACGTCTTGAAAAACCCCAATTGCCGGTGGGACGAAATTCCCTCTCTGCCCTCCTCAGCCTACACTCTCCTCAATTCCAAGTTCAGACCCTGCACCTCCGCTCTTCACTCCGCCGTAAATTCTTCCGACGATGTCACCACGAAGCTCCTCATAAAATTGCAGGTTCGAGAAAATGGCAGCAGTGCCTTGTACGAATTTGGTGCGATGTATGCCTCTCTTTTTTTTTCGAATAATTATGTAGTAATAATGGGATGTCTCTCATAATTGCGCCAAAGGGGAAAAAAATAAGGAGATGTCTTTTTGGTGCTTAGAACTGGGTAAGTGTTGTTTTTTCATGCGGTGTACTTTGCATATTTTTAGCTTTGACCTCCATTTTTTGTTGTTAGAATGGTGAGTTTGTGGAGGCCGTGATAATGAGATACGATACTCGGCTGGGTAAATACAATGGGAAGCCTCGTCCGGGTGGTCCCAGGGCAACCCTGTGCATATCTTCACAGGTATGCATTGTTGCCAGTTCACATATCTTATTTGTGAGTTTGTGGCGAATTTTTTCAATGTGTTGATGATGTTTATGGCTTCTTTGTGAGTTTAAAGGTTGGATGCAAAATGGGTTGCAACTTCTGTGCGACGGGGAGCATGGGGTTCAAGAGCAATCTTTCGTCAGGGGAAATTGTGGAGCAATTGGTGCACGCCTCTCGCATATCAGCTATACGCAATATTGTGTTTATGGTATTTTTCTCCCCTCGTTTTTCAATGAATGTATGTTAATATTCTTTCCAGTTAAATTATCTAAATGACTAAGTGGCTGTTGATGGATATTTTTCTTGGTGAGCTTTCATGGATTGTGAATCTGTAGCTTCATGAGTTTGCAGGCCTTAGATCTGTGCTTGGATGTCTTTATCATAGATTAGCAATTTGGCATTTGGTGTGTATTGTTCTGTTTTCCCAAGTTCCATTAAGGAAGGATCTATTATGGGGCGGTTATTCTGAAAATTGGTATAAGATGGTAAGTTCGAGATCATGGCAGGCTATAAACTAACATATCTCATTGTTTTTGGTTGATATCTCCACAATATGTTATGCTTCAGTCTGTATTTCTACAAAAGATTTTCTTAAATTTGTTGTTCATTTGTCTGGGTACCATATGCGTACTTTAAAGTAGAAAACCTTGCCTTTTTATGTTAGGCTGACTATACAAATTTTTGGTCTAATTAAACAAGGTAAGCATCAAATGATGAAGTAGACCAGTTGTTAACTTGCTATCATGTTCAGGTTTGCATCGGAATTTGATTTTCTTTTTACTTGCTAGAGTTGTAGAATATTTGTTTGTTGGACACATAATGTGGTTGATAATCCTCTAAATTAAGTTAGAATAGTATTCGAATTGACTTGAAAAAATAACGAGTTAACATTATATTGTAGTTTTATTAGCCATGTGGGCACATTCTTAAAGCTGTGCTGATTGCTATATGATTATATGTTGCGAGTAGGGAATGGGGGAGCCGCTAAATAACTACAATGCAGTGGTCGAAGCTATCAGAGTTATGACAGCTCCTCCATTTCAGCTGTCACCAAGGAAAATTACCGTCTCAACGGTAAATTTAATATTTTTCTCATAATAATTATTTTTTTTCCCTAAATCATGTATCTTTCGCAGGTTGGCATAATCCATGCTATTGGCAAGCTACAAAAGGACTTACCAAACTTGAACCTAGCAGTTTCATTGCACGCGCCAGTTCAAAACATTCGATGTGAAATAATGCCTGCTGCAAGGGCCTTTCCTCTGGAAAAACTAATGAATGCATTGCGAGAATATCAAAATAGCAGGTTTTGTTACGCTGTTGAGTCTTGTTATTTTTGTCCTTCTAAACTGCTTTTTCACACTAGTTTTGGGATTACATTCGGAAAAAATCTCATTTGGGATTTTTTTTGTAGTCAGCAAAAAATATTTATCGAGTACATAATGCTCGA